AATTTTTTGAAACCCCCACCACAAATATTTTTATTTTAGGTTTCAAATAAAAAAAAAAAAAAAAAAAAAAAAAAAAAACTAACTTAATTCTTGGTGGAAAATAGATTATAATATGATTTATATAATGTTTGAGTGCTGTTTACATGTTTATTTTTATTGTGCATAAATGTGCAGTAATACATAAACTCAGCACTTGACTTCTGAATTGTTTATTTCTAATAGTGTCAATTCACTTCCTGCCATTGTGAATATTCCCCAGAATAATTCCAGCTCCGGTGAGCTTTATTCCAAGCTCTTTGATGAAGTAGAGAAAATACAGTCCTGGAAGGTCAAAGTTGAAAATGACACTGCAGAGAAAGAGAGAAGACTGCAGGATAACAAAAGAACGATTGAAACCCAACGAAAAGCCATTCAGGAACTGCAGGTGTGTGTCGATTGCTTCTACCTTTTCTGAAATAGAGCATTTGTTTGTTTTTGGTTTGCATTACTATTTATTTTTGCCTTAGAGCTGTTTAACATTAAGTGTTTTATCTTTACAGTTTAGCAATGAAAGTTTAAGCCTAAAGCTAGAGGAACAAATCTCTGAAAATGAGGACCTAAGAAGCAAGTATGTCTGTTTTTCTTCTAAATATTTATAATATAAATTTAAACAAGCTACAACAATGTGGATGTACATATGTGCACACCAATACTTTGTTGAAACACCTTTTTATTTAATTCTAATAAACTCAGGCTGCAGATATCCAAATGGGGCAGAAATGGATAGTGAGGATAGTAAAACATTTGACTATTGACTGATTAGTCCTTCTCTTTTCCTCCTAATGTTTCTTTAGTTTTTTTTTTCTTCCAGAATTTTATAGTTGATTATTTTTATTTTATTTTTATTTTCTTACCCAGTGTAAAAAAATATAACCTAAGACAAGTACTGTGTTAATGAAACACTCTACTTTTTAAAATATTTTATTATTTAATTTACAGCTTACACTTTCATCAGAAAGTGGATATTTATGGTAAATCTCACAAGGACCCGTGAAAAGGAAAGTGAAAAATAAATGAACTCAAAATATTATTGCAAAGAGCTTGTTATTAGAAACCAATCAGGTGTGTTTGACCTGTCTGGAATAAATATTGATTTGTAGTTTCAGGGTCCCCACATCAATTTACCAGTTCACCAATTGTTCTTACCAGTTATTATGTAGAAGAATGGTCAGCACAACAAAGGGCCACATTCTGGGGAAGCTCTGTTTTGTTATTTTTATTGATTTGACTTGTCGACACAATAAAAAAGGCAGGAAATATGGATATTTTTTTCTCATACAAATATAAAAAAAAGACATACTTAAAGTGATAGAAAGCAGTGTGTGTCATTATTCCAGTACAGCGACACGATTAGGCATTGATTTAACGTGCTTCGGTGAAATTACCTGGTATTTATTGAATAAAATATGTTATCTTTAAAAATGATAATAAACCATATTGTATAAAATCTGGTGTCTCTCATTAATGTAGTTTAGTAATACAATTAAGCTCTGAAAGCTTTCGATTGTGTTTCTTTTTTCTTTGTTTGTACCTGATAGGAATTTGTTGATGATCCCTTGTTTTGTGATTAACGCAACTTTTGGAAGTCTGAGCAAAACTTCAAGTTTTGTTTTGTCTGGATATAGTCCTTCAAAGCTTTTAAGAACATTTTAATCAGGCCATAATATTTTCTTTGGAAGAAAATTATCTTGTCATATTAACCGTACTCTGTAGTTTAAATAATATGGAAAATACAAAAGAATGTTGTCACTCAACCAGTTTTAACAAGTAATCTGGGATCTATAGTTAATTCTTTAACAGTGATAGCAGGTGTGGTACCAAAAATACCAATCACTGGGACTGAATCAAAGGGTGATGAAACAAAATATTAATTTAGGAGTGTGCACATTTATGCAACATATTTGTTTTTTTTAGTTGAATAATAAAAATGTTTTCAGATTAAAAAAAAAAAAAGAATTCTAAAAAGATCTTGAAGTAATTTTTTATATCTCAAAGACCCACATAGTTGGTGGTAGTCTACTTCTATTAACTGTTTTATGTAAAATACAAATTGTGTTTGATTTATTAAAGCTGGTCATTTCTGAGCCTGTGTTTTTAACACTAAAATACTTTGCTACACATACAGGAACAATACAACAAGGAACTTGTGCAATATACTTAAGGAAACTTTTCAGAGATCTTCTGAGAAAATGCATTTATGTAAGCAAAAAAAAAACTTACACATTCAATTCAACTTTTAGAAATTCTTTGTTTGCTTTGATTTTAAAAGTTTACAAAATACTGAAACATTACTGCTTTTTTGAAGTTGAATCTGAAAGGGAAGAAACACATCACCTCTTCATGGAAAATAGTGGGAGCATTAAGGTAGATTACTACTATATATTGGAGCTGGTGATTCAACATATTTAGATGACTTTTCCTATCTGAACCCAAAAATAATTTCTTTCATTCTGTTTAATTGTAGAAACTACTTTCAGCATTTGAATCCCTCCGTATTCGAGTAGAAGCCGACCAACAAGAGATGCATAAAGGTAAAAGAGCAGTTTATCTACAGTACCATGAAATACATTTTATATAGTAAGACTAAATGAACAATCATAATGTTATTTCCAGTTTAAAACAATTGGTTATTGTCCCTTCTTTGTAGTGAAAGAAGACTTGTTGCAGTTTGAAGATCTGAAAGAGAAATATCATCAGGAATATATAATGAAAGATAAAGAGGTCTGTTAAAAAATTAGTTTATTTCAATTGCTTGATGTGTTTTTGGAAAGTAGGGAACTAGTCTTTGAATCAAATGAGTTAAATATTTGAATGGTTATTTTTTTCAGAATGAAATGGTTCAGAAAAAACTTGAGGACAAGGAAAATGAGCTCCAGAAAGCCCTGCTAAACCTTAATGAAGCTCAGAAATGCTGCAAACAACTCCAAGACTCAACAAGTAAGATTTGACCATGTCTATGGGTGTATTGTTTATATATCCCAATATAGAGAAACAAGTGTAACATTTTGTTTCGCAATATATATACACAATTTAGACAAAAAAATACAAGATTTAACTGGGGGTCATGTGTTTGCTTTATTTCCTAATTTTGATAGCAGCATTGAGTGCAGCATTAACCAATATCTAAAGTCTGAAATCAAATAGCTAAACTCTTTGCTGTAATTGTATTACTGCAAGCTGCCTATCTGGGCTGGACTGTAATGCACATACACTAATAAACTATTCCAAACAGCATATTTTCTACCTTAACAGAGCAACAATTTGAACTTCTCCAAAGCTTGACAACTGAAAAGGAATATCTTCTTCAAAACCTGAGAAGTGCTGAACAATCCTGTGAAGAATTTAAGGTTTGTATTTGTCACTGATAGTAAAACTTTGCTCTTGAATTGTGCTTGCTGAGATTGAAACAATAATAATGCAAAATAGAAAAAAGAGGAAAACACTGCTGCAGCCCTGGAAAAAATTAAAAATGAGTATAAAGAGATCATCCAGGACAAAGACCTGAACATACAGGACCTCAACAGATTAAAAAATGAACAAGCAGAAAAACTGGAGAAGATTGAAACAACAATCAAGGATTTAAAGAATTCCCAGGCTCTGGAGATACAAAGGTTGACTAAAATCCATAAAATTAACAGCATGTTGAAAATCTGATATAAATGATAACGTATGTCATTAAATGTTTAACACTTACTCAAGGGCCAAAGATCTGGAGGATAAACTAATGAAAAAGAGCAGTGAACTTGAAAGGAATGGAAAACTTTTAGGTAAGCCTTATCTGTGATTGATGTTGGGATCATTAGTTTAAGAGTATGCATATTTACGCAACATATTTGGTTTAATGTATTTGATGTTTTTCAAGAGAAATGATTTACTCAACAGGAGAGACCATGGAAGAAGTAACAAAGAAAGAATATCTGATCAAAGCCCTTCAAAAGGAACTTGTAAGTTGTAAAAAAATGTCTCTTTGGTAAATCTAAGATGCTGGATTCAAATGTTTGTTTTTTGTAGGAAACAGAATTAAAATCCACTGAGAGGTTGAAGTTCAAGGTTGATACTTTGGAAGCCAGAGTGGATGAACTTATTTCTGAGCTATCAAGGAAAGCCGAGGAAATTCAGATGTTAAGGGTAATACAAGAAAAAGATTTATTCCTTACAGGGATATTTGTAATAACTATTCTAGCATTCATAAAACATGTGGCATGCTATTTTTCTTTCTGCTGACAGAATGAAAAAGAGGTGGCTTTAGATGAAAATAGTCATCTAAAAGAGGTTTGTAAAAAGACTTGGTTCTTACCTTTCTTTCTTTTGACTTTTCCTATCAAACTTTCCTTCTTACGTCATTAACTCAAACCTTACTTTCTTGTGGTTTTCCTTGAGCCTTTCCTTGTGTCCATATTCTCTTTTTTGTGGTCTTTATACATAATTTATGTCCTTCCTTTCTCATTTTCTTCATCTATTCTCTGTTCCCTTTTCTTTTCACATTTGTCTTTCATGTTGAGCCTGAAAAAATGTGAAATTTTTACATGAAAATATTTTCATAATACTGTTATCATGTGCGCAGATCAAAGTGAAGGAACTTGAAGGGCAGTTGTCTCTTGAGATCGAGAAAAATAAAGAATGCACCTTTCAGATGGAGCAGCTAAAGGAAGACATCTTGCAACATGAGTGGGTTCAGCTCTGCAGTTACATTATTATATCTACTTTTGTACCTTTGCTCATATCGTCATGTAATTTGTTAATTTAATGACATTTTTAAGAGTGAACTATGAGGAGCTGCTGTCTAGTTTTGAGAAGCTACAGTCTGAAAACATGACCATTCAACAAGCGTTTGAAGATGGACTTTCCAAAGTAAAAGAGTCTGAGGAAAACATGAAGGTAATGCATATCAAGACATATCTTGTCATATATAAACAGATGATGTTGCCGAAAGTAGTTCTAATTTCCATATGTCACTTCCATCATTGAATGATTTACACAGTCTGAAAACTCTTTGTTCAGGTAAGCGAGGAGAACATAGTAAAACTCAAAAGAAAAGCTCAAAAACTGGAAGAAGAAAACAAGTGTTTAAGGTTAGTTTCCAGTAGAGGATCTAAACAACTCCATTAGTTTGTAGCCTTGAAGTGACTGTTATATTTTGTTTAAATAGAGATGAAATAAGCACGATTAAAAAGAGAGTCAGTGGGACATGCCAAGACACTGACACTATGCAAAAGAATGCTGAGAAAATTGTGAGTGTTTGATCTAAAGTAGTAATGAGTAGAAATGTCAGCACTTCTCAATATGGTGATTGTGAATGGTTTTGTTTGTGCATGTGTTTTGAACAGTGGGAGCATCTGCAAGAAGAGATAGCAGTAAAGGAGAAACTGATAGAAGCTGTGGAAGCAAATGTGATAAAGAAAATACTAATTCTGAAAACATTTTCTAATTCTGTGATACTAACAACTCCTTTCCTTTGTAGCTTCAGAATCTCAGGCAGACATTTGAAAAGAAATTTAAAGTGCAAGAAGAATTCAAGAACGAAGTATGTAACAACCATGATACTCTAGGCACTTAGCACAATACCCGAATCAAAAGGCACTCCTGTAAAGTTTGTCTTCATTGTTAACTTTCAGAATAAAATTCTCAAGAAACAAATTGCAAAAGAAACTGCTAAATGTACTCAACTAGAAAAGACGGTAGGTTGATTTGAGCTTTTATTTTTTATAAAACTTAGTCATCAGCAACAATAAACATTTGTGTTATTGTTCATTTAACTACTTAATGCACCCTCAATTTGTAAAAGAAACTAATTGTTTTTTTAATTGTTTGTTTTTGTTTTAGATCGACAAGCTTCAAACGGAATACAAGGACTATAAGACAATGAAAGAGGAAGATTATCATCAAATGCTTAAGGATCTTGAATCAAAATCAGCCTTAACAGCAGAGCTTGAAAATGAGGTCAGTCACAGGATTATTGTATTGTTCTTTTCTGACATTATTCTGACTTTAATGACAATATCAAAGTTAAGTTAAAAAAAATTATGTTACAGGTACAAAAGCTCAAACTAACAACAGCAGAAGCCGTTAAGAACAAAGAAGATGCAGAGCTCAAGTGCCAGCATAAGATTGCAGATATGGTAGCACTGATGGAAAAACACAAAGTATGGTATAATTCAGTTGCTTTTGTAGTTTGAAGTCGTCTATTTGTTGTTGCTCTATTTGTTGTTTGATTCTTCATTGCTAGAGCCAGTATGACCGCATGGTTGAAGAGAAGGACATGGAGCTTCATAAAAACAAGAAGAAAGAGACAGAGGCAGATGCTCGTGCAAAATCACTGGTATGATTTATTTATTTTTTAAAATAATTTAAGGAACTATAATTTCTTACTAATGAAAAATATTTTCTTTTTAAATCTTACATAAGGAGTTGGACTTGTCAAAACAGAAAATAGAAAATGACCAACTAAAGAAACAGTTGAAGACAAAAGACACAGAAAAGGTAGACCCCTAATTAAATAAAACATCTTTCTGGGCTTGAAAACTAAAGTTTGAAAGACTGAAAGATTTTACATGTAAATATGTGTCATTTTAAGGCACTTCTACAAAAAGAAGTAATTGATTTGAAGAAAGAAACTTCTACTTCAAAGATCATGCAGTTTTCACAAGCAAACAGCAAGCAGGTAATCTCAGCACTTAGTGTGGCACAGGTAAGCAGATTTGTTATTATTTGTATCTACCCAATAAATAACCTTTATCTTTTTAGTCAATTACACTTGACAATGAAAAAGTGATAGATCTTCAAACTCCAGTGGAAGGCTCAATAAAGAGATACATTTTTGACTTTAGCAAGACCAAGAAAACCCCCTCCAACAAGAGTCCTGCAGTCCTTAGGAAAGCTGTAAGTTTTAATTTCCAACACATTTTACTTAAGTATATATTTTTTTCAGTTTTCAAATGGTCTTAGTTGTTAGGTTAGGTAGGAAATTCAATTATTAGGGTCAACAATTTGCAATTCTTGACTAATGGAGACATAATAATAGAAAATTTTCAGTCCCAAAAGTTTTTCAATTGTTTTATCTCAATTTAGCAACTTCAGATAGCGGCAATGATACTGATGTTATTATGTGTACTTATAGAAATTATTGTTATAGTTGTATAAAGATGTGTGTTGAATTTTCATTGGTAAGGTGTCAGCCTCCAAAACACCCAGGACACCAAGTGGAACAACAGCAAAGACAAAGGTAGGCAACATTTCAGTCCTCTTTATTTACTTAGTTGTCTGGTTTTAATAAAAATTCATAATCATTTGATCAAGACAGTAAACAGTTTTCTGAAAAATGTTCAATATATCATATTTCCTCTGACTTTGCTTCATAGCCTGTTTTCAAAGAAGATACTGAGACTCCAGGAAGTGATAAAAATAGGATTGGTGGAATATCAAAGATGAAAGTAATACACTATATCTTTTTGACATTTTCCATAAGGAACAAAAATAAGCATGCCTTTTTCCTGACATTTGTTTTGTGAATTCTTTTACAGTCATACAGAATAAGAACACCTCCTTCTAGTGAAAATGCAGGACAATGGGGAAAGAACACTTTTGAACTTGACTCCAAGTCTGACAGCTCTGATCAAATTGATTTGTTTGTAAGTGCTGCTTGTTGAAATTTGTCATAAGCCTGCTTTGTTCATTCTAGTTCATTCAAGTTCATTCTACAATTTCTGAAACATTCCAAAGATAATTGATGCCTGTTTTTTTTTTGTTTTTTTTCTCTGGTAGACCTGTCAACATGAACCAGCACCAAGTGATTCTGTTCTACAGCACAAACGCAACATTTTCAAAAAGGTAAATATGACCATAATAATCTGTCACATTATGATACCATACAACCTGACAGGGTTGAGATGACAAGAGAAAAGAATTGAACCATTTCTTAATTTTGTCTGTTTTGTGATTTTTCTTTTGTTTGTTGCCAGATTCAGAGCCCCGTTGCTCTTAAATCACCTGGAAGTAACTTGAAGCTGGCTGCAATAAAAAGAATGAGAGACGCTGGTTGGACTGCAGTGACCAACTGCGACAAGAAAAAGAAGAAAACTAGTGATAAAATATTTGCATAGGTAATATCAATCGAGATCAGATCAATATTCCTTCATACATTGATTGATTTGATGAAATAAGTTATTCTAATATCTAAAGGGTCTAGTCTTAATATTGTTCACTTATGCATGCTTGGAATTTATAGTTCTTGAGGTTGTAGGTTTTCTTTGGAAGTTCACTGTATATGACTATAAAGTCATGCTCTTTGTTATTTAAAAATAAGCTACCTTTATGTATGTTTGGAATGAACTTAGCTTTATGGAAATTTGTAGTGTTAATGTGGTGACGTTGTTGTAATTGAAAAATTATCTTATCAAATTGAAAACTTTTTGAACAGGTTTAGTTTTAAAATTTTGCTCATTTATACGATTGTAGAGCTAATTTTGTGAAAAACACTTGAGATGTTCTCCTTATGTGACTACAATGTCACCCTAATTGCTTTAAAGTTCTTGTGAAAAAGAAGTTTTCCATAATACTGTTGTTTGGAAAAATGTTATGCTTAAAACTGTTATCTAATTCCCTTAGTTTGGTCTACATAAACCTTTATTGTTATTTTGGTAAATGTGTTGTTATGTGAATATATTTGTTTGGTCATTCCCACAAACTAATAAAATTAATTAATTACAGTTACATCAGTCATTGTTATTCATTATTACTTTCAATATTACTTCCTGTTGGTAAATAATTTAATTCTACAGGTTCTTTCTAGTTCTGAAATAACACTGAGCCATGGAGGAGAAATGGGATTCTGTCCATGTCCATATCAGTGGGTTATCACTGTGATTTAGCATAGAGGTCTCTCTTTAATGGAGGAATTCAAGGCAAAATCGTGACGGTTCCGCAGGAGTGGGTGGCACATTGTCGTAGATTGGATGGGCATCATAAAGTCCTCCAGAAATAACAAGGGTGTCATCATCGAGCACAAATCCATCTGTTGAAAATTGAACAGTTGCTTTTATAAGGAAATAGTGACTGAAATTGATTGCATTTACTACATGATAAAGTATCAGTTTTTACCTGTGCCATCTGTGGTGTCAAGACGTTGATGCAAGTACTGGAATTTATGTTTGCATTTGTAAAACATGATCATAGCTATCGTCAAAGCAAAGAGCCCAAGCATGCCGCTGAAGATTATTGTCATGTTTCTCTCTGACATGTTAAGTCTCAAACCTAACAGTACAGAAAGGTAAGGCGTTAAAATCATTGACATAACCAGTGGAAGAAAAATATGTTAAGTCACTGAACATGGACACAGATGCTTACCTTCTGTAACATTCACTGAGACTGTAGTCATGCTGTGAGATGAGTTTACAGTTGAACCTAGTGTTGTATCAGATGTAGTATTCAAATGTGTTGTAGTCTGGATGGTTTGTGTGGTCATTGTAAGCGCAGGCGATTGTGTGGTTGGTGTAGTGGTGTTTAGTGATCCACTGCCTGTTGGTGATGTCAAGATGGTAGCTGACTGAGAAGTTTGATGTTGACTTGTGTTTTCAGTTGCAGCCACTGTAGTAGAGAAGGTATTATTGCCATGCTTTGTGCTGGTATATTCGACTGTGTCCTTGGTTGAGGATAAGAGAGTAGTTGGAGTTACAGTAGAGTTAAGTGAAGTTGATGCTATAGTGAATTCTGTCAGGTTTAAGTCAAGGTTTGGAGTAGTTGTGAAGGCTACATGCTGGTTGTCCGTGTGTACCATTTTAAAAGAAAGTAGCAGGAGGAAGTAAACCAGGGGTGCCACGATAGTTCCCATAGAGCTTAAATCCTGTTTTGGGAAGCAAAACACGGAAATGTGTGTCAGATAAAATCATCAATCCTTTTTGGAATGCTTTAGTTCTGCCTTGAGATTAAAATTTTTCAAATCCTAGCAGCAAAAAAGGTTCTACATTGTGCTTTTGTAAGCAGGTTCTTTACATTTTTAAATATTAGTTAAGAATATGTACAGAAGAAAACACATTTAAGAAAACCGAGCATAGCACTTTAGGTTTTGTGATTACTTAACGTATTCTTTTATACTCATTTACAGTAGTAACTAAGACTACACCATATTTTTTTTTTGTTTGTTATAGAATCAAAGTAATAGCTCACCTTGTTTTATCGAAAGGAGTGAAAATTGTAATCTTATTCAATTTATTGGTTTGAAGTCTGCTTTCACGGACTCTTAGCTCTCTTCCTGGAACAGCTCAAGGATTATCTGGCTTTGGGTCAGGTAAAAGTGGGCAGGGCAGTTCATTGGAAACTTCCCCTTTTGTTCGTTCCCAAGGAGATGAAGGGGTGGTTTCAGCCAGTCCAAAGCTCAAACTCTACACTTCAGCTGAAATATGTTTTATTACCATTAATAAACACAGACATTGCCATCTAATCATCAACTGCATTGTAAAAATTTCCTCTTAGTTTCTTTCATCTTTTATTCTTACGTCAACCGTGTGGTATAATGTCCTCTAAAGTGAGTTTATGTGAATGTATGTGAGCATTTGAAGTCTTGGTAAATTTAACAGTAGAAAATATTTATTAATAAGTAGGAATATTTTTCAGATTTTTCATAGAGTGCACAGTTTTCATAGAAAAATAAACAGAAGTCAAAGTATGTTCAAAACAATTATGCCTTCCAACATATTTTAAAACACAACGATAAGTGTATTTCTACTTCAGAGTAAAAAGCAGAATAAATGTCAGGTAAATATGTTTTTAAAAATCATCTAGAAAAACAAAACAAATGGCAAAGGTTACATAGCAATAATGCAACAAAACCATTAAAACAAAAAATAGAAGGCATCTTAACACAAAGACATGATAACCTGGTGCTGTTTGAATGCCTTGTTGTTTGAAGTACTTAATAAGGAACATCATGGTTTTTGACTTTGATCTTTTTACTCGAGTGTAAATAGTAGATAAAACATAGCAAGTTTTCAATATGATCATAAACAGACAATATTGTTACTTCTTTTTGTACAAAAAATCCATAAATTATTTAAGATGTGTTTAATAAAGTGAGTAAAGATAATAGCATTATAGTTTTGTGGCATATTCTTTCTGTACATCCATCTCCATAAATGCTTTGTTGTCAACTCCCATGTGAACGTCTGTTGCAACTTTTTCGATTTCATCAGATGCCTGCAGGAAGTTAACAATAGTGTCAGATTAGCAACATTAAAAGAGCATACTTGGTAAACTGTTACTAATTAGCTAACAACATGACGAGGTCAGCATTTTACCTTTGAATTGTTGCAACCACTGAAGCATATTAAATCACTCCTCCTCACAAAGAGATCAGAGTTCATCTTCGCTTGCTTGCATCCGCCTGTAAAACAGACATAATCGTATTGTTGTTTTACCTTTAGTCATCCATTTAAATTAAACATACTTATTTTTAGTCTGTTTAAAGTAAAGCCTCTAGAAGTAAACTCTTACCAGTGATTATGCTCAAGAGCAGGCCAGACACCAATGTGATCAGCATGCCAAAAAGAGAAAAGTAGACATAGGACAGAGAGTACCAGGAGTCTGCTATAGGAGGCCTGTAACTAAAAATGAATTGATTTAGTATTTTGCCTTCCAGCAAAATGTACTTAAAACAACTACTTTTAAGTAAGAATTTCACTCCTATTAAATCCAACTGAAAGACATAATACCACTTAAAAGATCTGAAAGTAACATGTATGTCTAGAAATAGAAGGTAAATTAAATGAATTTAAGGTTTTGCCACATGTTTATGTATTGTTTTACTCAATTAGAGCGTGTTACACTCATACTCAAGTGACCATTGCAAAGTAGTAAACACAGACAGGCATAAGGATTTAAGCAAGTTTGTCAAAGGCCATATGGTCAGTATCTTTTCAAATTGAAGCAAGAAAAGAACAGGAGGGATCTGGTCAATGCTCACTGATTCACTGCTGGCTCATTTATTCTGTTGAGCTACCTTAGTTCACATTACTGATAAGATTTCGGAGTAGACAATTGCATTGCAATCGCCTGAGCATAAACAGTCAGGGTCATAATGTTACACCTGATAGATGTATAAGAAGAATGAAGCAAAACAAAATAGAAAAACTATTGTTGCTGTTATTACTTGTCTCAAAGCTTAATTTTTAGTGATGAATTACATATTTCAAATCAGATTTTAAAGCCTGAATAATTTTCTGTCTGACTTTAATTTCCAAAAGAAAAAAAAAACATTGTTGCAAAAAGAAAGACGATAAAAATAAATAAAATAAATTGTTTTACAAGCAGGTTTCTGTTTTGTAAAAAAAAAAAAAATACTGACTCTGGAGTCAGATTTGCTGGGCTGGTCCATGGAGCTGCTGTTGTGCTGTTGAGGTCCAGTGTTTTGTTGCAGCCAACAGTGGTAAGGGGAAGGGGAAGTGTCTTGTCAGCTGTTGGAGGGTAAAGCTGAGCTCCAATTCCCACCCACAAAGTTAACACCAAACCAGTGATCAATCCTCCCAGTCCTCCCTGAAAGGTAAATATGACCTCAGTCAACTTCCACCTCACGGAGTCACATTCCTGTTTTGCTACTGCATATTTTCTGTTTTCTTAAGGTTCAGTTGTGCAATAAAACTTTCCAGATCAATGAAATACTCACTGTTGAGTTTGCTGTGCGGAAAAACATGCCTAATAGATAGAGGCCAAGAAGAGGTCCACCGATCATGCCAAATATGGACAGAGCTGCCTGAAAATAGAAAAATGTTAACTTGTAGTGCTGAAGAAGTACCACTTGATGGTGCTGTAGAACTATAATTAACTGTGACAATATTGCTTTATTCTAACATAATTTTACCTGCAGAACACTTCCCATTGCTGAAGCAACTCCAGCCATTCCAATACACACGCCTCCAAAAAACACACCTAGGTGTTGGCAAAATAAAATAATAATAATAATTAAAAAAAAGCAGTCAAACTTAGGCAAAGATAAAAATCAGCAACAATTTTATCATCACTTTGCTGCGGTTGCACAGAAAGGACATTTCTATTCTGTTTTTTTTTTTATTTAGATATTTTGATTAGGAAGTACTAATGAACATCAAATATTGGGCCATGTAGCCAAGAAAATTTAAATATGTATGTGTTTTCCTGTGCAGACAGGCCTACCTAATACTTTAAATTACATCAGGTATATCAAATTTCTCTCACAAAGAGAACCCAGCCCTTCATTTGGGTTTCTAAAGAATTTCTGAGAACCAGATTACCTGCTTATGCATTTATCAGTAAATCAGTAAAGAGAAACATTACATGTTAACCTGTCTGCTCCAAGTTATCCAGCCTGCTGCAATTCAGCTTGTGGAAAGTCAGTGCTGTGACTGCTCTACCCACAGTTGTTAAAGCAGCAGTCATATATTTGTGATTAATTTGTAATACATTGTACTGAAAGTTCAGACTGTTATCTACCAATGAAAACAACCACTGAGATTATAAATAATGTCAATTGTGGCTTTTCATTGGTCTTAACTGTAAGGAGTCAACAGCTAATGTTGTACTTTGTGGTTGCAGATAGTTTGGTAAGTAGGCAGGTAGGTAGGTAGAACTCACTCAAGCCCATGTTCATCCAGGTCACTTGTTTCTGTGTGAAATCTTTGTAGACTGGAAAAATGAAATCTTCCACAGTGACAGCAACAAGAGCATTAATACTGGAGGACACCGTGCTGAAAGAAGTGCAAAGGCAAAGTTTCAGAAACTTAACAAATCAGAAATGGATAAATGTAAAAGGCTGCAAAGATTAGTACAAGGTGGCATGCAATTTCCTATGTTTGATGTCTTACACACTTATCTGTTGGTCAAGTTGTGTCTTGAGTGTTTTATAGTTTAAATTTACCTCTTATCAGGAAGAAACATTTCCTTATCACCACATAATTTCTGCAAGTAATTTCATTTTTATTTCTTCATTGTCTCAAGCCTTACCTGAGGGTACCGCTGTAAGCTGCAGCCACGAACAGTCCTGGAATTCCAGGATAAGGTGACAGAATATCCATCACAAGGTATGGCAGCAGCTGGTTCACAAATACAAGCCAATACTATTGTCAAGCAATACTTTGTTACCCAATTAAAAAGCATATTGTGCATGGGATGATAAGTAACATAAAGATACTATAGTTACCTGGTCAGAAGTACCTATATCCCCATTTGAAAGTGGGTCACAGTTCTTGTAAATGGAGTACATCGTAAGACCAGAGAACATAGCAAGACTCACTGTCGTCCATAAACCAACCATGTTGATATACAGAGCCCTGAGGGAAACATGACCTGTTAGTGCTTGAATTTTTTCCCACTGCCAGAGGGTTATTTGCATTTTATTTGAGTGATGCTTACAACTTGGCTTGCCCTAAGGTTTTGCAGGAGATATAGCGCTGCACCTGGGACTGGTTAATTGAGTAGATAGACACCCACATTATGCTACCACCAATCACAATATTCCAGAAAGTGTGTCGCTTGAGAGGATCTGGATCAAAGCTGTGAAAAAGATCAACAATGAGAGAGAGAGCTTAGAACATGTCCAAACATGGCACGGCTTTTTTTTTTTTTTTTTTTTTTTTTTTTTTTCCCCCTTTTTTTTTTTTTTTTTTTTTAAAAAAAGGGGGGGTTTTTTTTAAAT